GGATGGAGCCCAGGATGGCTCCAGGAGTGCGGGATGGCTCCATCAGCCCGGGATGGAGCCTGGGGTGGCTGCAGGAGCCCGGGATGGAGCCCGGGATGGCTCCAGGAGTGCGGGATGGCTCCATCAGCACGGGATGGAGCCCAGGATGGCTCCAGGAGTGCGGGATGGCTCCATCAGCCTGGGATGGAGCTCGGGATGGCTCCAGGGGCCCGGGATGGCTCCATCGGCCCGGGATGGAGCCCGGGGCGGCTGCAGGAGTCACGGCAGGAGCCTGGGATGACTCCAGGACCACGGCTGGAGCCTGGGATGGAGCCCAAACCCGCTCTTTCCCTGTCGAGCGAAGGCCGTGGGYGACGCAGGAGCAGGCAGCTGCTCCCACCACGGCTGCGAGGGCCCCACGGGGCAGGAAGCGGGGACTGGGGTTTGCGCATCTCCTACAGCAGGACCACAACCCTTAGCAAAACCTCCCCCCTTTAACRGTTGGGCTTTGCTGCAAAAAAACCTCCCCTAGAGCTCAGCAGAGCAGGGAGATTTGTGTCTTGCTGCTGCGGGGGAAGAGGGGCAGGGGTCTGCAGAGAAAGCAGGTTTTGCTTTGGTCCCACTGCTAAACTCGGGCACCTGCTCCGAATAAGCGATGAAAGGCTCGAGGAGCAGGAGCTGCACCTGAGGGAGGGCAAAGAAAAGCCCTGGAAGGGGGTAACCCCAGCTGAGCAAGRCCCCACACCTCTCCATGTCCGGGTTTGCGTGCCGGGCGGCTGTCAGCGTATGAGGAAACCACAGTGGGTATTTTTAAAATGAAATGCAATACCTCCATAGCCACATACTGGGTCAAAACCCAAACAGGGCCCTTGCCTCTGTGAGAAGTAGCACGAGCATGACATGAAGATCCTCTTCACACACTGAAACTTCAAGGTGTCTCATGCTTAGGGCCCAAGAGGAAGTGCAGAGCAGAGGCAGTGGAAGAGCAGGAGGGTGCAGTTTTGAACACAAGGGGCAAAGAGCACGGGGTTGTGCCCCTGTGCATCAAGACTGGCAGCTGGATGGCAGCTCTGGAGCAGCAGGGCCAGAAAAAGAATGATACGGCACCCACAGGGAGAAAAAACTCACCTATGGAATCCCAACTGGAACCAGCTTGATAGAGTCACAGCTGCTTTGGGGAGAGCCATTTTGCCATCAAGTTCTCTGGCTCTGTGCTAATTAGTCTGGGCCATCAGTGAGAAAACACAAACTCGTTCCCCGTGGAGGTCTGAACAACATGTTCCCCTATTTTCACACTGACAGCCCTGGCTCCTCCTCCGGCACTTGCTTTTATTGTTTACATTTTTAAGTCAATTTATCATGGCCCATCAAGTGGGTAAGGGCTGCACGGAAAACACAAGCCCCTTTCACATCTCCCTCGGACAGCCCTACAAAGGAAACATTCATTCAAGCCTGGACCATGAATAACCCCTCATTGGAAAGAGCTGCTTACTAAACAAGCCAAGGAGAGGGACAATGAGCCCTTTCACGGGATCACGGSGAGGTGGGCACAAAGGAAACGCCAGTTAGACACATTTATAGTCATTTACAGTGCAGCATAAACCCTTCGTGTCCCCAAGCACAATTTTTCATATTAGAGTGCGGAAGGTCTCAGCTGAGGCCTCCACTTGGACATCTGCTCTTTGCATTTCTGATATAACAGAGCCACCCATCCCAGCTGGTTGTCTGAAGCACTGTACACMAGTCAAATGCTACAGGAAAATACATTTACATGATGATTACAGTTGTTGTATCACGTACGTTCCAACACAGGCCAGGTTCAACTGTTACTGGAGGACTGTTAAGGGGAGATCTCATGTTTTAAACATGAGCTACTGGATTTTACCACCTTAAGATCATTGCTGATCTTATTTTAGGGAAGTTTTCTTCTTCTCCTCCCAACAACATCTTTTCTTTGGAGGATATTTGGGACTGAAACAACAGAGGCTTAAAATAAGCCTTCGTGTTCTTCCCACACGCCTATCCTCAGCACCTATGATGGAGTTCAAAGGATTGCTGGGATTCCAGAGTGCAAATCAAGGGTCACACAGATCCAGAAAAGGCTTTATTAGGAATGTTTAAGGTACAGTGTTGCAAACTGCGGGTCTGCCTGTATTTTAAACGGAGTTCAGGACATCCCACTCAGAACACTGGCTTCTCAGATACCGAATTCAAGTGGCTACAAGTTCTATACAAGATCAGCCCTGGCCTCTGCGTGGCAGGACCGTGCCGAGATAAGSCAGGCTGAGGGCGGAGGGAACGTGTCCGTGTTGCCAGCGAGGCTTTGTGCATCACCGCCAGGTCCCGCGGCACCGCAGAGCCGCGGCTCCTCCCTCCGCTCAGGCGCTGGGCGCGTACTGCAGGACCAGCCGCTCAAAATCGTTCTCCTTCAAACCAAAAACGGAAACAAAACGAACAAATCTTGAGCTTAACTGTAAATGGAATGAGATCTGCACCACCACTGAGCTCCAGAGGACACGATCCCATTTTACTACGGCATAAAGAATTCTAAAAAGCACAACTGTCTACACCAAGTTGTTCTTATTTTTCCCCATTTGTTCTATTTTCCCCTTCCTATTATCCTCACCTTCAGGTTTCCTCTTCAGATTGACTTTTAGAAGAATATCCCTCCTATTTAAGTGCATCTGAGGTTAAGAGTTCACACCACAGAACYATCATTTCAAGATGTCACTAGGTTCAGGTACATCCCCCTCCTTTGTTTCACCCTGGCTGGCGTTTCCCGACATCTCTCATGACACCACAGAAAGGATTTGCCCCACTCAAAACTGCAGTCTTGTTCAAGCAGGAATGCACTTCCTCCATCAGACASCAGGAAGGGCCCACGATAAATCCATTATTATATTAAAAAGTGACTAGTACCTTTGCCTGATACTCCTTTATGAACGGATGATTTTTATGTGCGTCTTTCAATTGTGACAAGTAGCGATTTGTTACCTGAAGGGATGAGTGAGAGAAATTTCAGTATTAAGATGAAGAAAACCCAACATGTACAACAAGACCCCTTAGTAATCCCATTTTCAGGGGTTATGATCTAATTTTCTCCTGATTTTGCATGCTAATAGTCCCAAGTAAAAACTGTGGAAACTCCACACTTTAAATAGCAAGTMAAAAATAAGAGTCAGTGAAAACAGGAGGCAGACTGCAGGAGCTAATTTTCCACCCAGATTTTCCTGTCAAGTATGGAAATTTACTTCCATAGAAGTAAGAAGTCTCACCTCTGGSGGTTTGCCCAAATGCTGTGAGAGGACAACAAAGTTAATCAGCGTCTCGGGATGGCCACTATCCTACAAAACAAAATAATCACCTGTTTATCCGATTKACCTCTACTGTGATTGGTTTTAACGGCTTTACAGTATTGCAAAAATATGAAATTCTTAAGTCACTTCAATAGAAAAGCAAAGGAGATAAGGTAGGCAGCAACAGTGATAATCTTTGGCAAGGCTTTTGCAAAGCAAGTCCCTGTCATTTTGCTCCAGGTGCCTATGAAAGGCTAATTGGATTCAAGTTCATCTGCCGGCAAAGCAGAAGGTACCTTGTCCAGGGCCTCCTGAAGGACCCCCTCTGCGTCGTCCCACTTGCCCTGGGCCATGTAGCAGGCTGCCTGCCCGTTCAGCAGGAGCAGGGTGGAGGAGCATTTATCTGCCATCTCTTGGAAGATGTAATAGGCATCTTGCAGCTTCTCACCACCCTGCAGAGACAGGAGACAAATTAGCTACCGTTCTGCTACACACGCAGGAAATCACTATGAGACTGCAGGTGAAATAAAGAGTAAACAATAAGAGCCACTTAAGTGAACAGAAGATTCAGGTTCCCATYGCAAACCAGTTTCAGAAGTGGAGAGTGTTTCCTGAGCACTGGAGACYCCTCTCCAGGATACTCACTAGGGCTATGTTCACCCAGGCAGTAGCCAGCTGGGTAAGTGTCGCGTCTTCATCTTGCTCCTGCATCTTCTTCAGTTCCTTGCTGCAGAAGCAAAAGCAGGAGGCATTAAGAGAAAGACACCAGATCCTCTAGAGGTCTTTCAGGTACAGAAAAAAGCCTGTGGTTTTCTCTATCTATCCCTGTTGCACAATAGCCACAGAACCCTGGTAAAGCAGCCCAAAAGTCTTATATTTTGATGAAATAAYGATCTGTGGAAGAGTGTTCCCTCCCCGTTTAACCTTGTTTGGGGAAAACAATAATCCAGGGCTAGAGAGTGGAAACAATCTAGAAAAGATGAGATTTGGCCTGGAAGAGGGTTTCTTCCATTAGCTGTATTCAGCTTTATCACCCCCAACACTCTTGCATTGTGAATCATAGAATATTGTTTAGGGCATCCATATCCACACACAGCTTAGTCCACTGGTGCTAAAGCATTGCTAGGCGACCTCATGGAGAGCTGTTATTACTATTTTTGAGAAATAAATAAAAGCGCTGCAAGAACACTGTTCAGGAACCAAGGGGTGCACCCAAGGGACACACTCACCGGGCTAGATCAAGCCTGTCGAGCTTCAGAAGGATCTGTATCATCATGGCCATGCTGCAAGGGACAAAGGCAGACTCAGCTGGGTGCTTTACTGCTCCCTACACTCTGCTCGGGAACGTGCTGCATAGCAGAGGGACACATTAGCAGTCACTATGGACAAGCCTTCCTGCAGTAGGAAAAGCAATAAAGCAGGAAGAATAAGGACAAAGAACAGGGAAGCTCGCTCCTGCTTCCTAAMCATTCCGTTGCTGTAGTGCCATAATGCTCGCTCAGTAACCCTGAATATGTCTGTTCAAGAAATAAGATTCTTAAGTATCACTAGAGATCAATATCCCTTATACTGCAGGACAAGCTCCAAGGCACTCAGGACTTAGAAAGCAATCCCCAGAAGAGCTTGAGGGCTTCAGAGCTTCCAGAGACGAGCCGGACTCTGCCTGGGAATAGGGAAGTGGCTACGGGCTGCCCCGGGCAGCCCCACTCACCACTCCAGGCTCTCCCCTTGGTGCAGCGTGCGCAAGGCCGCGTCGGGGTTCTTGTCGTGGAAGTAGATGGAAGCAGCCATCAGCAAGAACGTCGTGTTGGTGACATCGACGCTTTTGGCCATTTTTCTATCCAAATCGGCGACAATTGCGTCCCTGAGAAGACCAAGGGCGAGACCCTGAGGTTATTTCGTTACTGGAAAACACGTACAAAGGTTCAACCCCTTAAAATTCCACTTTTGGGTGACTCGCTGCAGAACCCTAGAGAGCAGGGCGCACAAACACAGAGCACCCTCCCCTGGAGCCTCTCCRTATGGAAACCCGTTCAGATGTCACCTGAGCATTATAACTTATCACCACACCCACCTTTGAGCCTCGTTCGACAGATAYTCAGCAAACATCCTCACTGCCTGGAGCTCAGGACTAGCGTTGGCTTTAATTTCATCCAGCACAACRCCGTATTTTCTCTATGAAAGAAGAAAAACAAAGACTTTTTACACAGCAGGCACAACAGTTCAGTCTATATGAACTTACAACGTGGGAAAAATGCAATTTTGTGCCTCCCAGCGCCCTCCACAAGCACAGCAAGACTTCATAATCCTTATAAAGGGCAATTCCCCCCCCTTTTTTTTTTTGTTTTAGGAGTAAAGAAGCAGCTCCCGGGGCGGATTCCGGTGGGGCTGAGCCCCGACACCACTCGTGACGCTGGTAACGGCGCCGGTCGCCGCCCCCGCGGCCGCGGCCCGCCTCACCTGCGCGATGTAGGCGCGGAACAGGAACACGTCCCGCTCCGCCTCCTTCTCCGGGCTCGACGGCTGCGGGGGGGAGAACGAGACACTTTATGCCGCCCCTCACGGAGCCGCGGCCGGGACCCCGCGGAGGCCCCGGCCCCCGGGGCCGGCTCTACCTTGACGCGCTGCGCCTCGTTGATGGCGGCCTGGTAGGCGCCGATGTAGAAGCTGTTCTTCACGTCGAAGAGCTCGTCGGCATCGCCGCCCTGCCCGGCCGCCATTTCCCTCCCCTCATACACGTCTCCCGGAAGCAGCTGCGCCGCGAGCGCTGCCGGGAGCCGCCGTCGTCGCGCCGCTCCGCCTCTTCAGCCAATGAGCGCGCCGGGAGGCGATGACGTTAGGTAGGCGTGGAGATGGGTGGGCCAATGGGGAYGCCGCGCCGCCGGAAGTGAAGGGCTGTAGGTGGCGGCGGCATGGCGGCGTTCCGCGAGCTGGGGCTGGCGCCGTGGCTGGTGGCGCAGGCGCAGCAGGTGGGGCTGGGCCGCCCCACGCCCGTGCAGGCCGCGTGCATCCCGCCCGCGCTGCAGGGTGAGCGCCGCCCCGCCGCCGCCTTGCTCCCGGCGGCCGCCTAACGGCCGTTAACGGCTCCCGGCGGCCGCCTAACGGCCGTTAACGGCTCCCGGCGGCCCTCTAACGGCCGTTAACGGCTCCGCGCGGCCCTCTAACGGCCGTTAACGGCTCCCGGCGGCCCTCTAACGGCCGTTAACGGCTCCCCGCGCCTCTGTCTCCCTCCCAGGTCGCGACTGCATGGGCTGCGCCAAGACGGGCAGCGGGAAGACGGCGGCCTTCGTGCTGCCCGTGCTGCAGGCGCTCTCCGAGGACCCCTACGGCATCTTCTGCCTCGTGCTGACGCCCACGAGGTGCAGGGGGGCGCCGGGAGACCCCCCGTACCCTCCCACGCCCGCCGTGCCCCCGAGCTGAGCGCCCTCTCCCCGCAGGGAACTCGCCTACCAGATCGCCGAGCAGTTCCGCGTGCTGGGGAAGCCCCTCGGCCTCAAGGACTGCGTCGTGGTGGGCGGCCTGGGTGAGTGGGGCTGCCGTCTCTCGTGGTCCCTGGTGCAGGCGGCGGAACAGGGTGGCAGGGGAGCCGCCGGGGCCGGGATGGGCTCAGGATCATCCAAAGGAGCCCACGTTAATTGTCTGCTCCCCTACGTGGGGAGGGGTAACCTGTCTGGATCGCTCTTTGACCCCTGGGGATAGAGACCTCTCTGACTTATTTCTAATTTGGAAGCATTCCCCTATTTGCAAGTGTCTCTTTGTATAGTCAGGTGCTATAAAAATACTTAAGGACCATAAGGTTTTCAAATCCAGAGCGCTTTAGATTCCCTGTTGTTATCTTGGGTATTTGGCCACCCGTAACCTGGCTCTGTGGCTCCTGTTTCAGACATGGTGGCCCAGGCCCTGGAGCTGTCCCGCAAGCCCCAYGTGGTCATCGCCACGCCGGGCAGGTTGGCAGATCACCTGCGCAGCTCCAACACGTTCAGCCTGAAGAAGCTCAGGTTCCTGGTAAGGCGGCTCTGCGGCTGCCGTTTCTGCTGCTCGGGCTCCGCAGCAGCGAGCTGGACGGGCTGCCCTTTCTCCCTGATCATGCCCAGGTTTTGGATGAGGCCGACCGGCTGCTGGAGCAGGAGTGCACCGACTTCACCGAGGACCTGGAGGTGATTCTGGCGGCGGTTCCGGCRCGAAGGCAGACGCTGCTCTTCAGCGCCACGCTCACCGACACGCTGAAGGAGCTGAAGAGCCTGGCCATGAACGAGCCTTTCTTCTGGGAGGCTCCCTCGGAGTAAGCTTTCACCCGGCCTGGATCAGAGACCTCTGCTCTGACCATCTTGTCTCCTAATTGTTTTTTGCCTCCTTCATGTTCCTTTGCGTGTCAAACCTGGGCTTTTTTGGTGCCTTGTCTGCCGCTCCGCGCAGGGTGCGGACTGTGGATGAGCTGGACCAGCGCTACTTGCTCGTGCCGGAGATGGTCAAGGACGCCTACCTGGTCCACCTGATCCAGACCTTCCAGGACGAGCACGAAGACTGGTCCATTATTGTCTTCACCAAAACCTGCAAGTGAGTCAAGCTGCTCCTTGGGATGCTCTCACTGTAGAGAACAGAAACGTCTTTGCATTTCTTGYTCAAGTTTATTGCTAGTTAGGCTGGGGTGGCAGCTGCACCCTTAGTCTATGCTGAACTTTGGCACATGAGCACCCTTTGTTTCGTGCAGTCAGTCAGAAGAACGGACTAGAAGTGCAGTGCTAGACTCCGTGTTACCTCCTTTGATCTTGCCTTGCTTCTGCTGATGGATGCTGTTTTTGCCTTAAGGGAGTGCCAGGTCTTGAACATGATGCTCAGGAAGTTCAGTTTTCCCTCTGTGGCTCTGCACTCCATGATGAAGCAGGTGAGTGGCTGGCCGGCTGGCGACAGGGACGTTTCTTGCYGTGTCCCCGGGCCACGCGGCTCCTGAGCAGTGTCCCTAATCCCCATTTCCCCTTTACAGCGGCAGCGATTTGCAGCCTTGGCAAAGTTCAAGTCCAGCATCTTTAGGATTCTCATTGCCACTGATGTTGCTGCCAGGTAATGGAAAACTGCTGTGATTATTGAACGGTTTTTAGCTGTATTCTGAAGCTCATTTGGATGTGAATTAGCTCAGATCCTGTCATTTTGCTGTAGCAGGAGATGGATTTTGTGAGGCTTAGCTTGGCCYCTAGGAGGGAATGTTAGGCCATCASCGGGGCACAGAGTGATGTACATGTCAGGCCATCCCCTTTTGTAGCTGTCAAGGAACAGCATGAGGAGATGGGTTTTCCTAGAGTAAGCTGGAGCTAATGAAAGCAATATTCACGAGAATATTGGGGAGAGTAGAGTACTAAAATGTGTTTTTTCAACTTTTCTGCTCCTTTATTGCATTCTAGAGGTTTAGACATTCCTACAGTACAAGTTGTCATCAACCACAATACTCCAGGCTTGCCAAAAATCTACATTCACCGCGTTGGCCGGACGGCCCGTGCAGGTGAGCAGGGAAAACTGTGTGCCGATTGCTGGGATATAGTTATGGGATAACCTGGGGTTAACGGCGATCCCAGYGCTTGACTGTGCCCTCAGTAGGCACGAGGAGGCAGCTGCACTGCAGTCTTTGCAGTCAGCATCAGACCTGCTCCCATCCCTGGCTCAGCATCCTGCCCTAAGACCGCACTGACGGTTCACCTTGAGCCGTGTCTGATTTGCACCAGTAGTTAATTGATTCTGCAGAGCAAATAAAGGTCCTTCCTCAGAGCATCCCTTCAGCACAACGTGCCAGGCTGACTCACAGGGATAGATGGAACCTGGCACAGATGAGGCTTTGGCTCCCTCTGCTTGTCAAGATTCATCTCTTAGCGTGTTTCCATCCTCCAGGTCGGCACGGACTAGCTATTACGATGGTGACGCAGTACGACATCCATCTGGTCCATGCTATCGAGGACGAAATCAGTGAGTAGAGAGTGTTCACGTTGCTAAAATGGGGCACGATACACGCTGCTCTGTCCTGGTGGTACTTGCAGCCCTCATTTCACAGGTCAGGGTGTGTGAGCAGAAACACTGATAGAAAAATGGTCTCCATTCCCCAATTGTGTCGCCAAGGCTTGGAAAAGAGCACTCGAATCTGTGGGCTTTGCTGTAGMGTGTGCCAGGCAGGGGCAGGTTTGTCTCCCTGCTGTTTCTAGTGCAGGAGAAACAGTCTGTGGAGCTTGCTCTGTAACTTGCAGCACCCAGCCCCTCCTTTCCTGCCTGCCTGGCACGGCGCTGTGTGTGCTGAGGAGTGGGTGCTTTGTGGAGATCCACGTTTCATCTGTTTGTTGGAAATGCAACACCTCTACTACTGGGAACTGTGGGCRGAAAGAAGGATTTAATCCCGTGTTGCAGGACCGTTGAAGCCGTAGCGATCAAAGCAAGTGGTAGCACTGCCAGCCAGTGATTTTCAGTACTGAAAACTACTGATTTTCATAGAATCTGCAGCCCTGTTTTGTAACGAGCCTTGTTCTGTAAACGTCTCGCGCTGTTTTAGAACTGAAGCTGAAGGAGTTCTCTGTGGAGGAGCGCTTTGTGCTGGACATCCTCACCCAGGTGTACATCACCAGGAGGGACTGTGAAATAGTAAGTGAAATAGTAAGGGGCCTAATAGTAGGCCCCTTGTTCAGAGCCCTGGAAATCTGGGGTAGCTTTTCTTCTTGAGCACGAGTTTTGGGGAGGAGGGCTGCAGGCTGCCAAAGGTGTCTGGGGAAGCAAAGGAGGCTCTGCTGATGCTGAGAGCGGTCCTGCTTTTCCTCATCAGACTCAGTGCTTGATTGCTGATTGCCCTGCTGTATTTTTGCTTTGACAGAAACTGGAGGGGATGGATTTTGATGAAAAGAAAGAAATAAATAAGCGGAAGCAACTGATCCTTGAAGGGAAGGTGAGAATTGCTGCTGTGTAAACTGCTTTGATCAGTAGCTGGTATAACACCGCTGATGTGGGAAGGGAATGACAGTTCTTTCTTCRCTGCTTGAGTTTGTCTGCCTCTCTTCTGATGGTAAAACTTAYCTTAAATGGTGACTGGTATGGAAAAAATGATCTGGGTTATTGCCTGATTTCTGCAGCCTACCCGGTCAAGGACTGGGGAGAGGAGTGGGCACCTGGCAAGGAGCTGATACTGGTCCCTGTGACTAATATCCTGGCACTTGCCATTGCAGGATCCAGATCTGGAGGCCAAAAGGAAGGCAGAACTGGCCAAGATCAAGAAGAAAAACAAGCAATTCCGTGAGAAGGTCCAGCAAACACTGGAGGAAAAAAAGCAACTGCAGCTGAAGAGGAAAGTGCAGAAGAGGATAGAGCGGCAGAAGAGACGTCGTGCTAAGGAAGAGAAATAACGTCCCGGGGCCTCCTCATGGGGAGCTTGAGTGTCCTGCAGGCTGGCTCTGAGCMCCCTGACATTGCTCCTGCTTTGGGGATACTGGGACCTGATGGGCTTTAGTTCTGATCGATCTGTGGTGGAGAGTACGGGGGAAATGGGTGAGGGARGATGGGACCCCCTGGAAAAAACCCTCCAGTTACTTTTCCTTYGTGTGCAATGCTGCTTGTTTGGGGCCATCCTGAAAAGCTGGATCCGTTTCCTGGAAGAATGTCCTTCAGAAGCCTGGTGCTTCCCCCAGGCCGAGAGCCAGACCTGAGCTGTTGATGTGAAGGGGAACAAGACTTTTCCCTCTCTCCTTCATTCAGCTGTTGCTCTTCCCCTTTCAAGGGGTAGTGCCCGACACTTGTTTGTATCAACAGATTCTCCCCTGAGCCAGAGACTAAAAATACTGTGTCAAGATCAGCTCAGTCCCTTGGCCTGGCAGAGCCCGGGCTTTTCTCCGAGAACAGTTTCCTGGAGCAGAGGGAGGCTGGACCTGGGCACTCTCCTGTGTTAATGCTGCTCTTTAGGCATTTACGTGGCACCTTTGGCTGTGGCTGCCTGCCTTGGTTTGGGCTTCAGCAGTGCCAGTCCCCAGACACAGGGCGGGCATCGTGCCAGGAGGCTGCCCAGMGGGTGCTGAGCTCTTCCCAGGATCAGGGGCTGTAATAATGCTTCCCCTCCAGAGCCTCCCAACCCAGAGCAGGTTCAGCTCTGGCCACCACGTGTCACAGCTCTGTTTTGATACCAAGTTTCGTCACCGATGCTGCCTTGARTGTTTGAGAAACTGCTCTTTCTGCTCTCTGGTTTGCAAAAATAGGTTCTATGGTGAGGCTCTGAATAAATACTTATGCAAAAAAAGGAYGGAGTGGTTGGGCTTCTCTGACAGCTGCCACCATGGAGGGATTGCCAGGGGCTCYCAGGGGAGCGGAACGGTACCTTGGCTGAGGGAACAGGTAAAATAGGAAACGTTCAGTGCTGTTTTGGGCCAGGAGCTTGGGCTGGTGGTGGGGCGGGGGGCATGGACACTGTGCCRGGGCACCGGGAGCGGGGCTGGATAACGCGGCCGGCGGCTGCTGCCCGGCCCGGCTGTGCTTCCCAGACACGTGGCCGTGTCTCCTGGTGCCAGCTCTGTGCTCGGGAGCCCTTAGCTCCTTGGAAAGCCTTAACGGATCCGCTTTGCTGAACCCCGGGGGCTCCCGGCGGCGCAGCCKGCAGGTGGCAGCTCCGGCCGCCCTCGCTGCCCATCCGGCCTCGCTGTGGCTCCGGCCTCGCTGCCGATCCAGCCTCCCTGTCCATCCGGCCTCGCTTCCACGCGCGAGGAGCACCCGGAGCCCCTCGAAGGAGCCGGGAGCCGCAGCGGCGAATCCCGCATCCCCGCGGCGCTCCGGCCCCGCTCCCTTTGCTCCCCCCATTTCCTGCAGCGCGGCCCCTCTCCCTGCTGCAGCCTCCTCCTCCTCCTCCCCGCCAGCGCGGCTGATGGATGCAGCTGCTCTGCGGCGCTCCCTCGCTCCCGCCTCGCCTGCAGCGCTCCGCACGCGCGGGGCTCTGCTCCAGCCACGGTGCAGCTGCAGCCCCAGCTCCTCCCTGCCAGCRGCCAGACCCCAAAAGAGAGAAAAGGAGGAAATTATGGGGATTTTTTTCCTCTCCTCCTTTCAAGTGTCTTATTTGCAGCCTTATTCAATGCCTCCTTTCTTTGCTAGGCTGAAGGAAGCTGCAGGAGGAGGCGAGAGCTCGTGCAGGGCTCCCTGGCAGCAGCCACTGCCTCTCTGCACCACAGCCTCATAACAGGAATAATTCCAAATCCCCAACAATTCCTGGGAGAGGAGCTTGCAGTCGTCCCTGCCCTCGCTCTGGTTTGTGCCCCTTTCTAAAGCACGCCCTTAACAGCGCGCGCATGCAAGGGGTTACGCACCCACGGGCGCCCGCCTGCGCTGCAGCGCGTAAACAGGCCATTTCTGACCTAAAAATAACCTGTCCTTGGAGCAACGGAGCAGCTGAGCTCCCCGGGCCCGACGTGGCAGCTCAGCAGGGCTAGGSCGCCTATTTCCCCTTGTTGGTGCCKTTTAATTACTAATTYCCCCAMGTYTGACCATTCTGCTGTTTARCACAGGAGCCTCGGGGCTCGGCAAAGGTCTCCCTTCATCCACCATGGACCTTCCCACAAAAATACTGATATTGAGGTCGATCTGCTGGGGAATTTGGCTGTGAGGCTGCCTCCTAACACACCAGTCCYTGCCAGGGACCCACCAGAGGCTTTTGGGGACGGGAAGCATCTTTTAAACAAAATCTTTCCACAGGATCACGCATGGGCTTAATGGCTCAACCTCTCCGGCCTGTGCCTGCCTTTCCTTGGATCTCCAGCCGGTTCCAGCCCTTGGGAAGGGCCGTTGTGGACTTGGTGGAGGAGGAATCCATGCCGGAGGCTGCAGCCTCRTGCTCAGCCGCTCCAGCTCCCAGTCCCAGCCCTCTTGGCAGCTGCCCTTTGCATTAGACACAGCCTTTTCTCCCCGAGGCTCCATTCCCGGCCATTGCAGCAAAGCTTCCTTGCTTCCTGCTGCGCCGCTCCAAAGGGCCTTGGTCYGGAGGGGCCGGATTCTCCCAACCTCCAGCACCAGGAGCAAGCTGCAAGACAGGGGTTATTTGCTCAGCCCGCTGCAAACTATTTCCCCCATGTTCCCTCTCTTAATGTTCTGCTGCTGAATAATTAAACCCCTCATTTGCCAGAAGAATTAGGTCTCTCAAGGTGCGTGCAAGCTGCAGCCTCTCTCCTTGCCGAGGAGGCCGCTGTTATTTAACTGCTGACACTAATTGGTGGTGGGAGGCAGAAGCAAACACTCAACTGCAGCTCTGCCGTTCAGCAGCAGCTTTTGTAAGGCGCCGTTTTGCTCTTTTTGAGCCCAAAGAGCATAAAGAGGGAGGCAGGAGGAAGAGCCCAGGGCTGACGCGCTCGAGGGCTGCAATATCCTCGGAAACCCTTTAGAGCGGGGCCGCTGCCACAGTGTTGTGGCAAGAGGAGAGTGCAACAGGGCTGGGACCGCTTCCATAGGCATGGGAATCTCACCCCGGCTTTGGTCATGTGAGATGTACTAGGATAAGGGGCGGTCTGGAGTTTTTTCGGAGCATTTTGGGCTTTTTCCTGAGGTGTTTTTAAAGAGAGGGCCTGGCCCTGGCTCCTTCTCAGCTTAACTTTGTGGCCTTCCAGCTCCCGTTGAACCTGGCCCCAGTGCAGGTGTGCTGGGTTCCCCGCACTGTTTGGAGCAGCGGTGGTGGAAGTTAGAACACCCAGAATTGCCTTAATCTCCCTTTTCCCCCAGCCCCAAATCCCCCCTGCGTCCCCAGCGCTGCAGCGAGAGATCCAGACCAAGGAGGCCCAGCTCAGAGCTCGTCTCTATTTCAAACCAGGCTGCTCCCGCAGGGATCAAACAGGACCACATTCCTTCCTTCCCCCCTCCTAAATACCCTGCAACAAGTGTCGCTACAGCAGCCCCAGCCCAACACAGTCATGGGAGTGAATCATGCAAAAAATAAGAGAAAAAATAAAAAGAAAAGAAGAAACCAAGCAAATCCCCAGGAGAAAAACCCTTCCCTGGGCACACGCCTGTGGAAATCTCAGCATTGCCCGGGAGAGGGAAGGGCTCTGCCCAGACCGGCACAGTCACCAGTGGTCTCGGCTCCAGCGCATTCCCAAGGAGCCGGAGCTCTTTCCGCCCGGACTCGCGGGCGCCGCGCTGGGGCAGCGGGCGAGAGAGGCGCCGGCTCCGGGTTCTCAGCATCCGGGATCACTCTGGGATCACTGGAATTCCTGCGGGTCGGCGAAACCTTCCCAGGATTATGGCTACCTTTGCCTAGCCGATAGCRGCAAAAACCAGCAATGAGAAAGATCCCAAATCCAGCAACATTCCTGCATGATCACTAACTACTTTGTGCAGACGCTGCGGGGCTGAGCACAGACACAGGGGCTGGAGGGCGCCCTGGGGTGACATTCCCGGCTCCCGGGCCCCGCTCCGCTCCCATCCCACAGCCCGCGGCCCCAGCTCGCCCCRGCCGCTCCACGTTCCCGCGCCGGCTGGCCAAGCCCTGCGAGCTGGGACCCGTCCCCTGCCCCAGGGGCTCTGACGCAGGGCAGGGCAGCGCTCAGGGCCGCTTCTCTACTCAAAAGAAAAGAAAAAAAATCCATGAGCAACTGCAATTTGCTCCATTTAATTCCAATTAAGTGCAGTCCGTAGAGGCAGGGAGAGAAACTCATCTAGCAAGTGGCTGGACGTCCCCTTGGGGAGGGGTGTCCTGCTTCCCAGACGCCCCCATGCCAGCCAGGCCGGTGCTCTCAGCTTAACGCCGCTTCAAGAAGCCCTAAAAACCACCATGCCAAAGCAAAAAGAGCTTCAAAACCTGCAGAACCTGCAGGTCCTCTGGAGGATGCACCTGAACAGGGGAAAGGAAACGTGGAGCAACAAGCACCTTGGGGCTCTGGTGGGGACTTCTGCTCCACCTGGAGCTCCTGACAGTGACCGGCCTTACTGGATCCTCCTAAAGAGGCTCTGGTCAGGGCCTGGGCAAGGAAAAAAGGAGCAGCCGGAGTCCTGGGTGAGCTGGCACCTCTGCTCCCTGCCAAGGCAAGCGAACAGAAGCAGCACGTTCCGCAAAAGGCAAGAGGTTCCCTAAAAAAGCTACTGAAAAAAACCACGAAGRCTGCTCAGCCCCTTCCCTAGAAAAGGACGGTAAAAAGGTGGGAGATGCAAGTGTTGGCGAGAGGGAGGCCGGGGGCAGCACGGGACAGCCGAGAAGCCCGGCCGCCGCGTGCGGACGCTCCCTGGGGAGGACCCGGGAGCTCGGGGCGCTCTGTCCGCTCCATGGGTGCTCAGCGGGCGGTCCGTGGCCGCGGGGGCCTCCRCACRGTCCAGGCAGCTGCTGGTATYGGGTGCACCCTGCCCCAAGGGGCCRGGAGGCTGTTGTGTGGCTCGGGGTGCTGCCGGGGACCGGTGCCGTCCAGGGTCCCCTCCGTGGGCGCCGCTCCTCAGTTGCTCTCCACCAGCTTGGCCAGTCCCTGGCGGATCTCGCTGAGCTCGAAGATCTTCACGTCCATGATCTCGGCCACCTTGATGACCTCGCTCTGCATCTTCTCCCGCTCCGCCAGGCTCTCGGCCAGCGTCTGCTCGGCCAGGTGCAGGCGCCGCTCCAGCTCCGCGTTGCGCGTCTCCAGCTCCTGCACGGGCACACGGGGACACGGCGCCGTGACGCAGCTCCCCGGGGAACACGGGGGGCCCCGCGGAGCTGCTCTTATCTGCGACGCACAGCCAAGCCCCGGCACCCCGGGCTGCGCTGCTGCTTGTATTGCGTGTCCTAKCTCGAGCTCCCACCCCACTAGCAGGGAGCATTTGCAGGCTGTTGCCACCACCCGCTCATTGCGCCCCGTGCTGCATCTCCGAGAGACACGGGGAGGGTGCCGGAGGATAGAGACATAAGCGAGGACTATCCATCATCCAGAGGCAGACCTGGCAGCTCTGCAGGAATCACTCTGGTTTAAATGAGAAACGGGGACAGATGTGTCTGCGCCGAGCACGGAGGTGCCCCAGATCTGCCATCCTCACCTGCAGCTTCTGCAGCGTTTCCTCGCGCTCGCCCTCTGCTTCCCATCGGCTGCACTTCTGGCTCTTCAGCATCTGAATTTCCTAGGGCACAACGAGAATGAGCACGGCACCAGATCCACCCCGTCACGGCAGGACCTGTTCCCGCCGTGTATGTCACCCAGGACCCGTTCCCGCCGTGTATGTCACCCRGGGCTCTCCTCCTCACTYCAAGGTCRCATAATCACATCCAGCCCCAAATGWGTCTCCCTCAATAGCCCGCTTCTGTGGCCTTCCACTTCTGCTCTTAGCCTCTTCCAAGTGCCTGGTGCCTGATGGAGACCAGCTGAGCCCAGGGAGGCCCGGTGGCCTCCRCGTTCTGCTCTGCACCCCTGTCCTTGCAGCCCTGCTTCAGCCGCGTCCATCCCTGTGGATGTGCAGCCTGCTGCTGCTCGCTTCCGAGCAATTCTCTACACACTCCCCTCCTTCACAGCCCCCGTAATTAAAACTGCGCTTTAAATCATTCGTTTACAGCAAGAGGCTACCATTGCACTGAGGGCAGAGGGGAAGGGGTCCGGGCTCCCGTCACCCCACCTTTTGTGCTGGGAAGTCCCGGCTCTGCATCCCCACGGATGTGGAGCGGCGCGGGTGGCTCCCGCTCGCACACGTCCCGGAGCAGAGCGGGCCCTGCCCGGCGCTCGCCGGCGCCGTTACCTCATCCTTGGTCTTGATGAGCAGCTCCAGCTCCTCCAGCGTCTGGCTCAGGTCTTCCTTGCTGTTCTCCGCGGCCGAGTCGGGGGCTCCCTGCGACTCCAGCTCCGCCACCTGCGCGGGAGCGGGGATGGGAGAGGGACGCTCAGAGACGYGTCCTGGCCCTCGCCGATGACGGTCGGACCCTGGGGCATTTTGGCTTTACTGCAAACCAGGCTCACAACACGGTGGCAGCTCCCAACCTGGCAAAGATTCCCTGCTTCCCCTCTGTGCAGATCGTGCACGGAAAGGCATTGGAGCAGAAATCTGGCTAGAGATCCTCTCTCTGCCTTCTCCTGCAGTCTCAGCTTCCAGCAAAGTCTGGCTGACACCAAGCACAGACTTCATAAGCCTGCGATCCATAAGGATGGTCGGATCCAGCTCCCTTCACACCCTTGGGCAGGTCCTGGCCAAGGACAAGGGACTCAGTGCAGCTCCGCCACAGCAAAGCCAAGGGAAGGGTTTGCCCAGATCCTCTCCCCATTCCTGAAAAACGCAGCCCTGTGGCTTGAATTATGCATGGGGAGGATTCATTTTGAAAGGCTCGTGTGATGGTCTGCAGCAGCTCCGCAGGGCCCTGAGCTCCCACTAGGTCTGCACGGGGCTTTGGGGGCAGCTTCAGGGAGGGGAGCTCTCACACAGAGGGGCCTTGGAGCCCCGTGTGCCACTTTCCTACGTGCTGGGACTCGTGTGACACTGGCCCTGAGCTGCCAGGCTCGTGGTCACAGCCAGAATCCACCCTTCGAGAAGCAGATCTTCTCCCCGAACACTGTGGTACACRTCAGTGTGATGTGTAGCAGCTGTGAACTGCTGTAAATCCCTGCTGGCTTTGGAATGAGCGATCGAGAAGCAAAGCAGCTTCACGCCTCCCTCACCAGCRCTCCCGAGTCCCTTCCCGGCCCAATCCCTAAGGGCCCCAAACCCTTTTTTCTGGATGCTTTCCGGTTCTCCGCTCCCGAGGAGCCCGAGCGTGTGACTGTCACTGCCCTGCCCGCGCACAGAGGCCTCCTCAGCTGCTCCACGGCCTCTCCGACATCGCCCAGGTCAAAAGATCCCATTATTCCAGCCGAACAAGGCGGCGTTTGTGCTGTGCCAGGCGGGTTTCATGAGGCTGCCRCCCGGATCCGAGCTAATCACAGCAGATGGAGCGACCTCATAGCGAACAGAGGGATCGTCACCCAGTCCCAAAGCCTGCCCTGATGCCCAGCTCCCGGGGAACGGGGCCCTTGTTTGATAGTGCCAATAGCTGGGAACCACGCGGAGAAAAGTCTAAGAGGGAAACCCGGATTCTCTGGTTCTGTGCCCTGGTTTATCCATGCAGGGACGGGGTTTCCTCTGACCAGCTCTGCCGGGACCCCCGTGTCTCACCCGCTGCCGCAGCGTTTCCGTCTCCTCCTGGTACGCAGCCAGCTGCTTCTTCCACTGGTCCACGTTGGCGTTGGCTTCGTGGAGGGCGGCCACGAGCTTGCTGTTGTTGTCCTGGAGGCTGAAGAACTCGGCTTCCCACTGCACCTCGCTCACGGAGCTGCGCGAGAGAACAGGGCCCGTGCAGGGACCGCGGGGGAGTCTCGGCGCGAGGGACCCTTCCCCGCAGCGCGAACGTACCGTGAACCAAGGGCGTCAAAGCGCCGAGCAGCTCCCTGCTCCTGCATCCCTAGCAGTTTCGCTTCCATTTTGCTTCCCAACATTTAATGCACATCCCATCCATGAATTTGCATCTCTTTCCTCCATCCCCAAATAATATTTCACTTGGAGAAGTCTGCAGAAATCTCACTGTGGGTTTAGCGRCGGGGGAGAGATCCAGCTACTAGCAATGAGCTTTGCAAAGTGGGATTGTGAATCCATTTTTAAACCCTTGTTAGATCCGAGCTTGCTTTGAAYGCAACCACTACCAACCTGCAGTTAGGAGCAGGTAGCAAGAGACGCTTGCTTTTAATTTAAATATATTCCAAATATTTAGCTGGAAATTCCATGGGCGCTACAGGAATCCAGCCTGGAGTCTTTTTAACAGACAGAGACCAGAAGTAGCAGAGATTTTGCTAGAATCCTCAGGGGAATTAACACAAATGCAGCCTCAGGCTAGCCGGGGAAGTGTGAACATCTTCTGCTATCACCGACTACTGATCTGTGGATAACTGGCACCAGCTCCTCACTGCTGCGGGCGCAGAGCCTCGTCTTTCCCACACTGCCTGAGCAGCAGATTTCACCTCCAAGCTGGAAAAACCTTCTCTTGGGGAAGAAGGGAAACAGGTTTCAGAGAGGACCTGGGACGGTGCTTGGTTGCGTGAATARGGAATCGTTGAGTTGATGACATTTGGGCTGGGACTAGCCTGTCATTTGGGGACCCTGTGACGTCAGAGACATTCTCCAAATTCCTCTGGAATTGACAATTTAGGAGCCCGGAGAGTAGCGCAGGCAGCCTCACCCTTCCGAAAGCATCTTCTTCAGCCGCTCCTTCTCCGTTGTTATCTCCACATCGGCACTTTGGCTGCGGAAGAGCTTGTCTTCTCCTGGTCCGTTGGAGCTGATGATGGGGCTGGGCAGCACCTGGGAGAGGAGGAAGAGGTGGTTAGCGTGCAGCAGCGAGGCCCAAGACACGGGGCCACAGGCTCTCTGCAGACCCGCTCGCGGGCCGGCTCGCTACGCGGGTTCCGAGCGCTGCAATCTTGGGAGCATCCCTGGTGTTTGAGCCCCATCTCCCAGGCAGCACCGTGCTCACCGCGACAAGGGCTGGCATGGACCTTGCACACAGCTCATTAGCAAGAGTTGGGGGTTAAYTGTGATTTCAGAGCATCTATCCCAGCACGCTAAGGGCTAGAGCCCAGCTGGGATTCCTCCCAGACAGACGAGCTGCCGCATTCCCWGTTTGCGGCAGCTGCTCGGCTCCCTCTTCCCATCTCCGTGCCATGCCGGAGCAGCTCGGCTGGGGAACGGACACCCCGAGCAGGTGGGACCGCAGCCCGCGCACGGCGCCTCTGCCGCCCTCCTTATCTGAGCTTGAACTTTCTGGCCTTCAACGTCCCCCTGAGAAACGCGAGCGCAATCCGAGCCTCGTGGCTGGGCACAACGCGCCRAGCTGCCCAAACTGCCCCTTGCAGGTGGTCAGGGTTGTGCTGAGYATTATAACGGCATTTTTCTGCTGTTTCTCAGCGAAAGAACAGACCTGACAGGCCACCTGGTTCGCTTGTGAGTCCAGTTTCTGCACCTGGGATTAAGACACCGGCTCAAGGGCAAGGGAATGCGGTTACTGCTCGATGCAGCAGCCCCTTTCCAAAGGGATGGGAGGAGAGACTCCAAGTCCCTGTCCCAAAGGGGACCCCCGGTCCCTATAGCTCCATGCTCCTGCACACGCCAGAGCTAGCAGAAATGCACAATTCACGCTCACAGACTGGAAGGAAGCAACAGGGGAGCAGACGTGCAAATGCAAAGCCCACAGAGCACTTCACACCCTCCAGGCTCTCCAGAGGACCCCGTCTCCACAGCTCCTCTCCCGTCTCTCACGGCAAGGAGAAGACTTGGCACAGACAAGGCCAGGAGCTATAAAAAGACAGGCTGCAGACTGAGCYGGGGGGATATTGAAGATGGGGGCTGAGAGACCAGGTGGCTGGTGAGCCCACGGGGTTCATAGGTAGCCCTCAAATGCCACTGGTAAGGACAGCCACAGCCACCTGCTTCGGAGTCGGCTGACACCTATAAATAGGGACGGAGCGGGCCAGGAGATGTGTGGAGCACCGGCTTGCAGAAACCTTCCAGGGACTGACCGAGAGCCAAGACCTTCAAAAYGCAGGGGCAGAAGTTTCCTGTTCTGGCACCTGACCCCCGCGATCCRGCTAAACCAGGTGGCAGTTGCAGATGCTCCACTTGGTTTTGTTGCCTCTCTCATCCCCCTGACAATCTCTGTGATGGGGATGCTAAAAGTGGCCTGCAAGATCCTAGAGAGCAGCAGGGGAGAGCTGCTCTCCAGGGATTTCCACCGCTCCGAAAGTCTGGAGCCTAAATAAACTGGCAGAGAGGCAGAAAAGCCAGGGAGACCTGATTTAATTACAGGAGACAGATCCGCGCTCTCCTCCCTGGCAAACAGCAGCACAATCAATTATTGAAGGATGAGGCTCATGTGCGCATCTCCAGCGCTGTAGAGCCTGGAAAGGAGCCAGGGGCCAGTGGAAAGGAGCGGTGGGTGCCGGGGCTGGTGTCCGTGCAGGCTGGGACGTGGCACACGTGCCTGCGAGCGGGGGACACGGCTGGTGTCACCGCGTGTCACCAGGGTCCTGTGTTCCCATGCAGGAGCTCAGAGACGGGCAAGTGAGCGGGGAGGTTGAGCCCTGCTGAATGGGCTAAGAATGGGGAATTCGAGGCCATTCGCTGCTCTATATCTAACCAGCACTTCCAGCCACCTCCCTCCTGCTCCCCCCAGCACAGGGCGGACGCACGTGTCCTGCTCYGACTCCTGCTGCGTTTTGCCTGGTGCGAACAGCACTGGGAGCATCCCAACTCCCAGCCTCCATCTCCCGGGCCGGGAGCTCTCCCGGCCGCAGCCAACTGTGAAGCACTGCCTTGGACACCAGCTGCTGAGCACAGCGTCTCCCGGCTGAAGGGCTGGCTCAGCTATTCCCATTCTGCTGTCTCCCTTCCCACCCGTTAGCACGAGGCAGAGAGAGGCTCTGGCAGCCATGAGCTACGCAGATTTTCCCCTCGTTTCCCACCCCACATGGCATTTGCAGCCTTTGCAAAGCCTGGCTTTGCAAAGCCAGGGCCTCCGCCTCCCCCTCTTTTCCCTGCAGGCCAAGGTGCCACTCRCCYYCCTCCTCCTCCTCCTCCACTGCCACTCCATCTGGACTCAGCCTAAAGGCTGCAGCCTCCATCCTATAGACCCTCTGCTATGGCCTGGAGCTCGAGGAAATGTGCAGTCCCCTCCGGAGAGCAGCATTTGGGAGGCACCTTCACTGGCCCCTCTGGAAAGGGGCATTTGGGAGGCACCTTCACCGGCCCCTCCGGACTGCTGCACCATAAGATAAAGAGGGAGTAAAACTCCCTGCCACGTCTTCCCTCCCTGACATCCCGCTGCTGCTGGAGCTGGTTCAGCTACGCAGGGAGACKGGTAACGATCCCGAGTGCAGAGTGCGAGAGCGACCCGTGCTGGGCTTGGGATTTCTGCTGTGTCTCCTGGGGGAAAGGGAATTGAGCGCCTGGCTGTCACCCCGGCAGAGAGCTGCAAAGGGGCCATGGAGAGTTCTGCTCTCATGTGGCAGATGCTTCTTTTCCACGGCAGAAATAAGACAAACGCGGAAATTTTGGCCAGGATTCCTTGGTCACCAGCTCTAAGAAGTCACCTCCAGCAAGGGAAGCTGTTGCAGAAGCCACGTGTTCCCCTTCCCGCTGCTGCATCCCGCGCTCCCGGACGCTGCTTGCCCACCAGGGTCACAGGGAGCACCGGGAGGCCAAGGAGCCCCGAGGAGCAGAACGGCTCCCCCAGCGCTGCCTCGTCAGACCTCAAGTGGCTTTGGCACCTCAACCAGCAATGAGGGAGGGGTAGGAACCTTCCCAGGAGCCCCACTTTAATTAATTAATTAATTACTGCTTATCTGCCTCAGTAGAGTGACCTCATAGGTGGCATCAACACGTGAATGTCCAACCYGTGTGTGGCAAAGCAGCCCTCGGGGTGGGTGAAGGGGGAAGCTCCCACCAGTGACCTCTATCAGCACCAGGTATCAGCACGGGGCCCTTGTCCCCGGACCCCCCCGCGCCCCCCGGCCTCACCTGGTGAGACGTGAGGCTGAGCGCAGGGTTGGTGAGCTCCGTTTTGTCCTGGGATTTCTCCCTGGCCAAGCGGGCGGCTTCCTTCACCTCCTGGAATTTCTCGGCGAACTAGGAGGAAGAGGCAAAGTGAGCTCAGCAGCTAGACCAAAACAAGAACTAGACCGAAACTGTGAGCAGAACAAGCTCAAAGCGACGTCAGGGCTGCCCTTCCCCGCTTGGCTGCTCCGTTCAACGYGGTTTGACTTTCTATGCAGCTCAAACCCAGGAACCCCCTTGGGGTCCCGTCACCCCTATCCACCAAGCTGCCAGCATTGGGGAATGAGCTGAGCCCCAATAGCACACCCAGTAGGGATAATGCTTTTAAAAGTWATTTAAAAGTTGGACCTCAAGTCCTAATTCCATCTGTAACGTTCAAAACACTATGCAAATATTATTTTACAGCTTTTTCTTCCCCCCCCCCCCCATCATCTTCGCATTAGATTCTAGCACAGCGGGAACAGCATGACACCAGGATCCTAAATCCCTTCCGAAGCTGCTGTCTCCTGTGGGAATTCTGGAGCATTCCCGGGCTGGGATCAAAGCTCTGCCGGCACCTACAGCGTTACCTGGGAGAGATGCTGCTCGGAAGCAAAGCCCAGGCCATAGACGGTGTTGGCCCGGCTGTCTGCCCACTGGCCAAACTTCTGGGACGTCTTCGTGAAGGTCATGTTGGGGGTGATAGTGCTGTTAATGATCGCCTGTGTGGAGAGGGAAGAACAAGGCTCAGAGGAACCTCTGTCCTGCTGCCCGGGGTGACACTATGGCACACTGACCACTAGAATCACTGTGTCCTATAGGAAGAACAAGTAGGAGCCCTGTTTTTTTGTTTTTAAGTTCTTTGGGTTTGTGGTGACCAAAGCCTAGCCTGCTTGTGTGACATGAAAAAAAATCTCAGTTTTGCTGCCTGCTGCAAAAAATACAGTCAGCTTCAGTGAGCCCCCGTTGCTGGGAGAAAAGATAAGAGGCAGAAGGTCTCCAGGGACCGAGCAACTTTCTGATGTTCCCCATTTGCAGGGTAAGTATGAAAAATAAAGGAAAGGGCTTCAATAGTACCCAAGCAGGCGATTAGGAAGCACACTCTGTTGGGTAGGGTAGAGCCAAAGCAAATTGCCTGGGAAAAGTGCCGAGTGTCTGCCCTTGGAATTCTTCAGGAAAAAAGAAAAGCAGGAAACCCATCAAGAATAGTTTAGGGGGAGTTAGTCTTGTTTGTGGATGTGACTGAAGTGACTGCGTCTGAGAGCCCCTCAGCTCCTGATTTCATTTATCTATGGAGGTGGTTTTCTGCACAGGGCCACGGCTCTAGGAAAGACATTGTGCTTTGCACACCAGCGCCAAGTCTCCTGTCTAACAGTGACCCCCTTTTACCTTCCGTTCCCCAAGGAGAAGATGCTGGAGGGTCCCATGCTGAACATTGATCAACTTGACTCCAAACTTTGATCAACTTGGCTCCCCAATGATCAACATTGATCACCTTGACTACATTGATCAACTTGGCTCCCCAATGATCAACATTGATCACCTTGACTACATTGATCAACTTGGCTCCCCAATGATCAACATTGATCACCTTGACTACATTGATCAACTTGGCTCCCCAATGATCAGCATTGATCACCTTGACTTCATTGATCACCTTGGCTCCCCAATGATCAACTTGACTTCCCAATGATCAACATTGATCAACTTAACTAATTCCATCAGAGGTTTTGGCTGGAGAGGAAGGTGCCGTGAAGCTGCGTGATGCCACCCAAGCCCCCTACCTTGGTGCCCCCCACACTGATGATCCGGTACACGTTGCGCGTGGCATCGTAGAAGTAGGAGACGGTCAAGGCGTGTTTGCTGGCAGGGATCCAGTTCCGCTTGGTGGCCGGGTCGATCTGGAAAACGTGGGCCCTGGTGCTGAAGATGGGCTGCTCCCTGCAACGGAAACGGGCAAAGGGGAAGCTCAGCGGTGCGGCGGGCGCCCGACTTCCTCGCGCTGGGGCTGCATCCTGCACTGCTGGAGGCACTTCTGCTATCCGCCTCATCCGCACGGATCCGAGAGCGGCTCCCACGGCCCCGGCACCTCTCCCATCTCTGAATATCTTCAGATAATCCCGGAGGCTGCAGCCGGACCGCGCTGGGGAGAGCTGCCCGCTACCTCAGCTCTTCTATGCACATGCCCCCGAGGAGGAGCATCCAGCCCGGGACGGATAATAGGATATAGGATGTTGCAGCCTCCCGTCTCGGGCACGTCAGCGCTGCAGCGCCGGAGTTAGGCCAGCGATTCGTGGTTGCATCCTATTTGGCCTGATTTGAAGCTTTTTCCCCCACTCTCTCCATGCACTTCAGCTCGCGGTGCCTTCGCCGCGCTGGCTGCACGTTCGCTTCCCAGGAGCAGCGGGAAGCGGCTCCAAGGAGCGGCAGGATGGAGGGCGCACGGGGGACGCCGGCCCCTCCGGCRGCTCTTCCTTCCTCCGCTCCCGCGCGGGAAGCGCGTCCTGCGCTCAGAGGCCACATCCCAGGCTGGAAAGCGGGGAATTCACTCGGGAATGAATTCAAGGAAGCTCTGGAGCACACAACRCGCGGTTGCGAGCGTGGCCTGCCATTGGGAACGGGAATGTGGCAGGCCAGCCGAGAAGCGGAGCCCCAGGATGCAGCCGGAGCGTCTCGGGAGGCGGGAAGGAGAATTTCCATGACCCCGGCGCAGCAAGGCTTGGCTTTGGGCTTTGACTTGGCTTTCCAACTCAGGCGCTGGCTCTGGCCACATTCCTGGTGGAACGTGGCGTTGGGAAACATCCCGCGTGCCCTCCCCAAGCACAGCCCGGGCACAGCCACCATCCTGCCACGCACAAGCCCCAAAATCCCAGGATTTGCAACCAGGCTCCACTTCAAGGCCTCACAATCACCACGAGCAAACTTTCCCCTGCACCTGAAGGCGACCTGGTGCTTCCCGAGCCCAGCGCCAAAGCCCAGGGATGAGATAAAACCCTCCCTCCCGCCTCCCAGTCACAGCCTCGTTCCCAGATCACAATCCTAGACTCGGCTCCCTTGCTCCGGGCATCCCAAGCAGCCCCTTTGCCGCATCCTCCATGGCTGGTTTCACCCAGCCCGGGCACAACTTTGGAGCAAGGCTGCGATTCCCCGCTCTCTGCTAACAGATCCTCCCTTTCCCGCAGCCCACGGTCAAGCCCCACCTCATCCCCACGGACACGGCACCCAAAGACCCTTCCTGCCCCTTAACCCTGAGGCCGGCCGCGCCGAGGACGTTACCTAGAGGCTGACATTTGCTAGGAGGGCTCGCACAGACCGAGGCCCGTGCGCCGGCGCGCGGCTCCCGTCCCGGCTCTCCTAGCGGGGCTGCGGCTCCGTGGGGGTTTGGCCTCCCGCGGGATTCATTTCCTAGCGATGGGAGAGGCAGCAGTTATTCGGCACACGGAGAACGGGCAGTGTCCCGGGGGGTCGCTGCTCCCCAAGCTCGGAATTCGGGGTGATTTCTAATTGCCCAGTAAACCTTCTGCCCTATGGGGAGACAACCGGGCAAGCTGCGGTGCATCCCTTCGGCTGCTGGTGCGGGCTGTTGGGATGGGGACCCCCGGGAGGCTCCGGCGCTTCCRGCAATGCCCATTGCCATGGAAAACCCTCCCGGGAGGAGGACGCGGACCCTCCGCCGCTGCCCTGGGCTCTCGCCCTGCTGCCCATTTGCTTTGTAAATTAATCTCTCCAGTGAACGGCCCCCACCCTCCTCCGCCCCTTATCAGCCACGCTTCCAACTCCGCATATCTCAAAAAGAAAAGGCAAGAACGGGGGAAACGGCAACTGCAAAGGTGCCTTGGGAGGGCAGCCAGGCTCCAAGCACATGAGCTGGGGTGTCGCAGGAGCTTTTCCTGCTCATCACCCGAGGTTACAGCGGCTCTGGGGGGCAGTCAGGACRTCCCCTGGCCTGCAGTCACAGCAAAGCCAGCACTGTGTTCCCACCAAGCAGCAGGAATGGGAACAAAGCAGAGAAAGGAGGGAGAAGAGGGGAAAAAGTAATAATAAGGAAAAAGGGGAAACGGGAGCAGCGGCAGCAGGGCAGCTCTGCAGCTTCCCCTGCCTGCCAGGAGCCAGGGACCAGATTCCTGCCCTCAAACACTTCCACGGGAAGCAAAACACGCGGCATCCCTTGCCGTTATCCCCCACGTCTCCCCTTTCATCACTCAAGAGAGACCCGATGCTGCCAACGCGCGTGTCCCCGGGAGCGGCGCCCAGCTCCGTGCTTCCCTGCTCCCGCCCGCCCGGCTCCAGGCAGCGCTTCCCGGGAAGCGGCTCCTTGAGCTCCATAGCTCCCCAGCACGGAGGCCTTTGTGCTCCTGTTGGGAGCAGCACGGAGATGGCTGGGCCCCTTTGGAAGCGCTGGTGCAGAGGGGGAAAGCATCTGCTTTTTAAATCCAGCAAATGGCACAAAATGACCCTGCTGTTACAAGAAATCCRCTGCAGAGGATCCAGCTAGGCTGGTAGCCTGCCCTTCAGCCTCGCCTACGGGCGGGCAAGGTTAGGACAAGCCCAGCAAACAAAAGCTCCCGGGGACTAAGTGCTGGAGCACAAGGAGAACAGAGAGACGGAGAAGGCAGCAGCAGAACTCAAAGGAAAAGGAGAAAAGGGAGGAATAGGARTTGAGAATGTGGGACGTGAGCCATGGGGAGGGCCCCGGGACCGAGCTCAGGAGCTCCGTGCATCCACAGATCTAATGAGACTGGGGAAACTGGCCCCATTGGAGACCAGGAACCCGTCACGTGCAGCAGCGCCGGCCTCTGCCCTCCCCGAGCCCCACAAAGCGCTTAAAAATAGCCCTGCAAGTGCCTAGGAAGCGAACAACCACGTTCCCCATCCCCACAGCCCTTTTTCCCTTGGTTTTAAGCGCACACACTGGATACTCCGCACATCACCAGGTGCCCACGCGTCTCCTGCTGATCCCGGCTGCAGGGCCCCGTGACRATACAGACATCGCACTGAAAAGGGCACGTGGAAATAAAGCCACTTACACCCCCCCAGGGATAGCCCTCGCACATAATTAAGAGAAAAAAAAATGAAGCAAAGGAGTGAAAGGGCATAGACCTGGCTTAAACACAGACAGGATCAGCAAGAGCCTGGTGGCAACTGGAAAGGAGCCAGATCGTGTTTCTGCCGACAGTTGTTCCCAGCCCAAGGGGGAAGGGCAAAACTGAGCTATTCCACATCCCACTGATAGGGACCCGCATCCCCATGGATGGTCTGCAGCATTCGGCAGCAGACGTGCAGCTACCAGGCCAAGAGGAAAAGCTAAACGCAGAACTAAGGGCTGATCTAACTCACACTGCTGATCCTAGGAGCTTTTTCATGCTATTTCATGCGATTCTGGTGGTTCTTCTCCAAGAAGAGGGCTGAAAAACGGTGACTGGTGTTAGGGGAGGACACTGGGATAGAGTTCATGGATCAGTCGTCTTCAGTGCGGTCACTGACCAGAGCCTCTGACTCACCAGTCAGCAAAGCAACATGYAAGAGTGCACGCTGGTCTCATTTCCACCTTGGTCCTTACGTTGTTCCCCTCACTACAGCATCCAAATTGATTTCTGAATGAATAGCTGCTTATTTCACCATTTCCAGGACAGTAAATCACTATTTCCGYCCTGAATTTAGGGTCGCTGCAGGCCTGAGCAAGCCAAAGGAACCGAGTGTGCTCCCTGGATGGGGGTCCTGGCACAAGGACACACGATGGGGACCCTGCCCGCGCTGCCCTATGCCAAGGGGGGACAGGCGGCATCAATTCTGTCCCTGGCATCACCGCCACCCTACGTAGCAGGGCATAAAGCAAGGCATATGGGCGGCCCCCGAGCAGCTTGTGGAGCTGCGGAATGGGGCACGTGGGAGAGCCCTTGGATCCACATGGAGCATGGCTGCACCAGGGACACGGCTCTTCCTCCTGCTGCACCCCCCAGGCAGCCTGAGGGCCCTCCACTGCATAAAACATATACACACACACATATATATAYACATATATGTAAAATAGGTGGGTTTTCTTTTTCCTTCGGTGTGGGGGGGAAGAGGTATCTCCATTTCAGACCAGCGGAGCCCAGTATCTCACAAAGCAGAACTGGGGCACAGAAAGGGCAGGAGATCCAAGCCTCCCCCTCCTCCCTCCCCGCTCTTTGTCTCCCTTTATCTCTCGCTGCCGCTGCTCGGCCACGCCGTTTGGGGAGGAAACGTGGGTTAACGGGACCGAGCGCCAAACCTCATCCCCTTCCCGTTGCACTGCTCCCCGGACGGTTCAGCTCCGTCAGGACAACTGCATCCGGAGCCCTTGGGAATGCCGGCTCCGTTGCCAAGCCGCACGGAGCGGGCGCTTCCATAGAGCCAGCCGAGGGTTCGGGCACTGACCCCCGGGACACCGGTTGTTAGAGAGCAGAGCGCAGACCCTCCGTGCTTGAGATAACGGGAGGGCGCCCAGCCCTCCGGCCGGACAGGATCCCAGCTCCGTGCYGCATCCCGGCACCTTGGGGGAAACGTGCGGCCACTGCTCGCATCCCTACGGAGCCCGGATCCATCCCGCACGGCCGCGAAGCCGAGCGGCAGCAGGGCCGCTCCGGGGCTGCACGTGGGCACGTTCCCTGCCGCCTCCCCCATTCCCAAGGGATTACCCGGCGGGGCTTAGCGCAGGAACGAGCAGCAGCTGCCGCCCGGCCGGCCTGCCTGCGGATAAAGGGCAGCACAGGAATCCCGGCTGGAACGGCTCCCGCCGGGGCGGCGCGGGGAACGCGGCCGCCGCGCAAGGTCAGGCGCGGGGAAAGGGCAGCGGGGCGCTTGGAGACATCCCGCGGAGCAGGGACATTCCTCCCGGGAGCAACCCGGCCCCCGGGCGCCCGCYGCGCCGCCCCGCGCGCCCGCGGCACGATCCGCACGTTCGCCTTCTGGGACAACTG